TTATAAAAAAAAAAAAATGTTTTTCTTTAGTTTATATTGGTTGTTATAATTTAATTCGTGTTCACTTATCATCAAACTAAGTATACTTGACAAACAATAATGTGTATTAATATTTGATGGTCGAATACCATTGTTTGCTGTATGTTTAAGTAAATTCTGTAATCCACTCTCGATTAACAATATTGAATAACATAATATTTGATGTGTTAATGATGCTATACGAAACACAAACATTCCCTCTCTAGTTTTTTTTTTTTATATTTTATAACAATAACGTACAAGTTGTATTACAGATAAAAAATAAACCAATGCATCTATGATAAAAATAAACGAATTTATAAATAATTAATCACATTGAATTTTATCATTGTTTTATCATTGTTACGATATCATCATTTTCTTTGGGAAAAAGTTGTTCTTGTTATTCTGTAATATTTTCTGGACACTATTGGTATCATTAGTCGTACTACATAGTGTTCAAGTTTTGAAAATAATTTCTACAAAAGTCTAGAAAGAAATGACATTTAGCTAATAAAAACTTACTAAATAATAGTACACTATAATATAATAGTATTAGTTCTTTTGTTAAAACTTTATTGTTTTTATCTACCTACAATTGTTTTAAACTAAAACAATTAACGTTGTATTATTGATATGTAATCTATAAAACTATTGTTAAATTAGAATAACTTATTTAATATGAACATCTTAAACTGTAATACAATATAAAAATTGTATTTTATAATTGATATACGATTCCCGAAAATACATTACAAAGTGTAGGTGATTGCGCGTGGGTATATTCAGGCGTTTACATTTTACCATAAAGTGACCATCAAATAATGAATATCTGACGTTAAAAAATTTTATTGTGTAGAACCTCCTTGAATTTTTTTTTTTAGATTTTAAATACTAAAATAATTTATTTGTTTAATTTTGATGTAACAACGACAATTGTTTAATAGTAAATATAAATTATTATATAATTAGTTTGTTTTGTTACATAGCGTAAGATAGTTTTAACATTCTGTATAATATGTCTTCAGTCTTAAACTTGCCGACCTATAGTTGAGTTACACTTTATTTTCGAAAATTGAATAATATTTTATAGTATTCCTATTGAATATATATGTATATAATCAACGATCTCTTAAAAATGTCTACACTTAAACACTCAATACAATTCGTGGTAAATCGAAAACTCTATAATTCGTTTTATTTCATATTGGGTACCTTCATTCGAGTTATTCATCGTACTAGTAATAATTATTTGTAATCATATTAATCAGTAATAGTTTGCATCAGTCAAAAATCTAATATTTATGCCGAACATAGTATTTAAAGTTACAATAGTGTATATTATGTGTTATACCTGTAAACTATTATTATTTATATAAGTCTGCCGTATTACCCGTTATATTTTTCACACACTCTACGTCTATTATAAATGATGGTCGTTATGGTATCGATATTTTTGTACATTTTTAAAAAGTAAAAATTATTATTATGAATTTAAAGTTTAAAGATACGGTTGTCATCAAAAGTTTAAAATTTTTTCTTTGTGTGGTAAAATGTAAATCATTATTGTATGTTTGAAATGTTAAAAAACTTTTTTTCGAACAATTAAAGTAACTTGACTAGATTAATAACTTTCAAACGTCGTACCCATAGAATACAGCAAAATTTAAACTACTGTGTATATACTAGGTATCATACAAGTATTCAAACAAAATAATCATAATTTATGAAAAAAAAAAAATGTTATACTAGATCCATAAACTGCATTTGAAGTATTATTTTATGGAAAAACTCATTCTGATTCCCACTGTAGTCGTCTTTGTAGTTTACATATTTTGAAACTAAATTTACAGATTATTTGGTATACTCTGATACACGAAAGATATAATATGTATCCGAGCATAAGGATAGCATTTGCCAAATCATATCAGTTTTTCAATTAAAAATGTTTGTAAATATTTGCATTTCTTACCATATTCGTTAACAAATAATTTAACTGTATGTGTTGTATTTAAAATTTAAAACTATTAGTGTCTATATAAATTTATATTTTTACTTTTGATTGATTATTTAGATATTAACATTGTATAATAAAGTATTCATGCATTTAACTTTTGAATATTTGATACATGTCAAAAATCATGTATTAATAACATTTTATATGTTCATACCATTAAATTTTATATATTTTAGTTTATTAAAAATGAAAAATTTAAGTTTTACTGAATTACAATATCTTAAAAAGATGATAAATTTACAAATATATTACATTTGATAATTATTAAAACATAATTTTACTTAATATTTGATTATTTAAATTTTGAAGCATAATTTAAATGAATAAACTGGTTTCTACACGTTTCTTGTGCCACTTCAATATTACGAATCCATGTTTGTTTATTTGAACCACACTATTTTTTCCTCTAGGTTATAAAAAAATGTTGTAAGCGACTCTCCGGAACAGACATTCTTTTTATATATTTATAGAAGGGATGTAAAAATACTTAAATTTTAATGAAGAATGTATGACATTATATGAAAATATAACTCATAATTATTCAAATAAAGAACTAATTATAATTGTAACTAAAATGTATTACAATTACTGAATATATAATACTACAATTAAATAAGTTTAATTATTTTATCATTTCTTATTTTAATAAACTGTATAGTCATCTAGTGATTAGCTTCGGATGTATCTGATATTGGTGAAATACAGTGCCTGATACAATGTTCACACTTTTATTTTATTTTATTTTTTCCGTATTTGTAAAATTAAAACCTCAAGAAAAAAAATATTTATTTTAGTTATATTTATCATGTTCTATATCACTTCAAAGTGTTTAGATATTTACTTACTATAAATGTATTTACATATCAGTTTATCCGAATGTATATATAAGCAAATACTAATATGATGTTTGAGATAATACATACATTATATATATTATATATAATACTTACAATACACACACCATTTTTACAACTCTATTAACTGTAAAGTTGTGTACTTAAAGGCTTAATATTTAACCAACTTTACACGATTTCTTGATCTATTTCTAACAAAACTTCAAAAATGTAATATATCATTTCAAATACAAACATTATTAAATTATTATTCGAGGTTCGACTTTTATGATTCCTTCGTTAAGTTATAAATATGGAACATTTTCTCACGTTATTATCTTTAGTTTATTTATAATAATATTTAATTTATAATAATATATTTGTGTTAGCTTTTATTATTCATGTGTTTTATATGGATTTCGAATAAGTTAACATCGTTTGTTATAAATTATTCATATCCGACTGCTGCGAAGAGACATTTTGAATCCGTCGACTAATTTTATAAATATATGCACTAACCATGTGTTTTTATGTACGAACTAAATATCATGTATACACAGATCTATTATAATATAGTTCTGTTAGAATTGATATACGATATTATCGACAATGCAGTATGACGATGAACATACTTAATCGGTGTTGGTAAACCCGACCTACGTATTATAATGTTGTGCTATACTGTTTCGAGATAAATACGATCCATAATATCCTCATTTTTATATCCCTGTACGATCAAAATTTCGCTTTATCTAATCTGCTGTCCCAATAATATCATGAAATTTCTCACACATTTAATAATATACATCATTAATACGTATCACCGACGACCCAACTTAAAAATCATACGTTCGGCAGATGCGTTGGGGGTAAAAATATTATTTTATTTTCTAGATCTTAGTTTTCGGTTTGTGTACCGCGTTCGGACACGTTTCCTAGGACCTAGGAGGGTTGGTTGCATTGCTGGACGGGAAGGGGAGGGGTAAATGTAGGACGCCGCTTTCCAATGCGCACTGCTGCTCACGCGCATATGCCCCCCTGTTATTTCACCGGAGCCATGGCACGTTGAAATGGTTTCCTTTCGCCAACCGATATTCGTGTTGTATAAAGTTAAGATTTGTCGTGTTTTTCGGGTTTTTTAAATAACACAGCGACGACGATACTATTATACGGGGGAAAACGGTCGTGTGAAATGACGACGTCATCCCGTAACGCGCGACCTGATTTTGCGCGGAAATGACACATACCCGTAACAAATACCTGTACGAGTGTAGTGGGGGGAGGAAAGACTGTTGGAAACAAATCGACAAGTTTTTTTTCTTCCCCCTAATTATTCGGTACATGACGCACGCACTGCGCTATGGCTTATTATAGCAGTGTTACAACTAATGGTCGAAACGTTATCTACGTGTTACACAGCAGACGGGGTAAACGGACGGACCTATACGAGCAGATTTCCGTTCCATACGCGTGTTGAAATGTGCGCGATCGGGATGTTATCATCGTTTTCCTCAACCTCCTCCTGCCACTCTTCCCGAGTTCGGCGGCCGGCAACGTTGCCAAACCGTGCAACACGGCGGCTGCGGCGGCGGCGGTGGCATCACTCGACTGCGTGATACGGTCACGGGCCGGAAAACGTATCCGTGGCGACGGCGAAATCGGAAAAGAACAACCGCGACGGCGCCCTAGGAATCCGTTGCCTTTGCCGTCGGTTTTTCCGTTGCTTTCGCACCTCGGGCGGACCGCGAAGACCATCGCCGGGGACCGCGAGTCCCGCCGCCACCGCCGCTGTCTCACGTGTCTCGCTGGATATTATTCTCGTGCCCGCACGTTCGTCGTACCTACGATGCGTCGTGCGTGTCATGCGCGCGCGCCCGATCTCGGGACAGCGCGATCCACGTCCACCGTTCGGACTGCAAATTTGTCTGTCGTGACATTGCATAGCCGGTGCGCCTAACGACGAAAACCCGAGTGAGTATCGTCTCGCGCGGGCACACCGTGAACGTATATTATTATAATATATTACGCGTATTATACACGGCGCGTAACATTTTTAAAACACCGCTAAAGCGAGGGGGAGAGAAATAGAGAAGAAGAAGACGAAGAAGGAAAAAAAAAAAAGGAACGTTTTATAAAACAGCCAGCTCGCACGGCGCTGCGCTACGGCTTGTCGGTGTTCCAACGCGTCAAGGCGGGTCCTTTCCCCCACCGCCGCCGTTACCTCGAGCACGCACACCGCGGCCGCGCACGCACGCACACGCTGCTGTCGCCGCAGCCCGTCGTCGTTGCCTCTGCCCGCCGCTGCACTACACCACGTATCGCGGCCCCGGTTCCTCCGCCCGTGCTCGCATAGCAGTATACGCGTTTCCCGTTCGCGCCGTTCGACACACCACGTACTCTCCCCCTGTGCGCGTTCCGACGACGATTGCGTGTGCGTGTGTGCGGTTGTGCGTGCGTGTGCGCCGCAAAACTTTGTTATTCTCTCTCTCGCTCTTTCTCTCTTATCCTCTCTTTCTCTCTCTCTCTCCCACTCGTATTCGCTCATTGCTTCTCCGTGTGCGTCTCTCATTCCTACGTGGTTTTTCAACGACCCGATCACCGTGGACGGACACCCGAAACGACAACTTTTCGACGACATCGCCGAATAGTGTGCGTGAGTGTGCGTGCGTACGTGCGCGCGTGTGTTATGTCCAAGACAGCCGCCGACGTCCACGGCGGTCTTCCGCACGGGATCATCATGTCGTCGTTGGCCGCCGCGTGAAACATCCCTCGCCTGTTCGTGTCCTTCCCCTCTCCCATCGCCTCATCGCTCTCGCGGCGTAGCGCTCTCGCCGCTTATGATTTCAACGCCCCGACCGACATCGTCTCGTCTTCGTAACGAGTGAAAAGTATAACCACCGCGGGTGCACCACCCTGCTCTCCTCTCAACTACCCCGCGGACTACAGACTCTTGCGCCGCAGAATATATCCCGAAATGTTACATAATATTATTGTAAAATTTTTTTAAAATACGGAATTTCGGGTACTTGACTCAAAGTTCATCACATCCATTATACGTGTTCGTTTAACATCACTACGGTGATGATAACGGTACACGAAAAATGGTGATAACGTCGTCGTTATCCCATTACAATTGCTGCTGCTGCTGCTCCTGCTCTTGCTGTCGTTGGCGCGGCGGCCGCTCTGTTCAAAGCTGACACACGACTCGCCACCCCGAGCAGACCGAGGAGGGTTTTCTCAGGTAAAAAGTACGAAAATAATCGATAAACCAACACGTACTCGGCGATGATGTATACGTATTTTTTCGCGACCTCCACCGCTCGCCCACGTTTTCGCGTCAGTAAATCAGATTATTGTTTTTATTTTAATATTTTATTCGTTCTCATTTCACGTTGATATCGTCCTCGGCGTCGCCGTCTCTGACGTTTGGTGCGCCACGCTTGCCATTTGTGCGCGCGTGTGTTCTCTTGTGATGGTCGTGGTCGTTTTCCTGGAAATTAAATGATCCGCTGTCAGGACCAAAAATATTTTTCACTTTTTGTGTCGGTCGTATGTTTCTCTCTTTGTATAGTTAGTATTCATGTGTCCCTTTTCACCTATTCAAGAGATAGTGTACTTTCCTTACTTATGGTTTTTCTTTTAAGGGATGATGTTAGTAGTTTTGACTCTAACCAATTAAATATTTATTGACCAACAATTTCAGAACAGAATTCCTCACTCAGTGTAACGGTTGGGCGTTGCCACATATGGCTTGTACAAGTCTCTTGGTCCAAAAGCCTATATTTAACTATATTTTCAACTCTTCTGTGAACTGTAAATATATTTGTTGGTAGTGAACGTATGTTGCCTATAGTTGATGCTTGTCAACCTATTTTCGATATTACTCTATATTACAATCTCATTTAAATAGTTACCATTTCCACCTTGGTATTTTTTTTACTAGAAATGTTATTTTACTTCGCCAAGTCTTTTGCATTGTTTAGTTAAAAATCTATTTTATAACTTTTAGGGGTTATTTTAATAACTAGTTTTACCTAGTTAGTATACTTGTCTATTATTGTATTGATAAAGAGGATGGTGATATTTAATCTTATACTTAAGTTGATATATATGTATTTTCAAAAGTTAAAAGGTTATAGAATACAGTAAACATGTATAAATTAATATATTTTATTCTTTTAATGAAAAACATTTACTGAATAATAACACTAAACTACTGAATAAATTGAATTCTATAGAATTGCAGCTTATGTTGTTATTGTTAAATGTATTGTTCTTCCAAAGTTTTTGATACTATTAGTTTTTTTATGTTTAATCTCATATAAGTTAACAATACATTTTACTTACTAAGGAGTCATAATGCATTAATTGTACCATAAAACCATATAATTTCAAGTTTTAATTGTTCATGTTTTTTTATATTATATTGATTTTTGCTTTTTTAATATTTTTTTTATATGGTTAATATCATATAAATGTTCAATTATCATATGATTTTTAGTACCCATCTAAGTCATACATACATTTACTGTCATATGTTATATTATACTCTTATCTATGTATATGACATACGTAGATGAATTGATCAATTTGAAATTCAACAGTCTTCCTCATATAATATATTTCTAGCAACAGTATCTAAGTGTATATAAATAATAAAATCAATTTTATTTAAAATAGCTTAATATTACAATAGGTTTTTATGAAAATTTTTCTATATCTGATGAAAAATTGGTATTTATCAATGTACCTTTTAACCTTGTAAGAACATTTTATTTATCTTCAAAAAAGTATTAGTGTTATAATATATTTAAAAGTTAAAAATAGGAAAAAGTGTATTTGTTATTTTTTTATTTATGTATATTATTTTGATATATTTATTTAAGTTAAATTTTACATAAAATTACATACTATTATAACTATACACATAGACAAAATATTAAATTAAATTTAGTAAACTTTTTTAATCCAGGAAGAACTTTTTATTTATCCTTAAACTTATTATTTATATTCATAAAAATACTATAATGAAGTTAGTAGTTACTTAAGAATTTTTATTTACTAGTAAATTAACACTAACCAGCTATTATAATTTCAACATATTTACATATCTTTGTACCTACTACCCATACTATTAATAATATAGCGTATGAATATTTACAAATATTCTCAGTTGTTTGTGTGTTCATCAGTTTTAATATTTTTATCGTTTTTGGTGTACACATTTTTCTTGAGTTTTAAATATTCTTTAAAATAGTGTTTTAAATTGAAATTTTTTTTCCGTTATACCTTTTGTTTATCTGTGTGTTCTTTTGTATTATTCAGTATCATTCAGTTGCTCACCAAACATGTGAATGTTATTAGTATGTAAGTAAATAATGAAATATACATCTTCTTTGTTATTTAACTACCATAGGGAATGATTTTACTCAATAGTTTTTAATATTTGATAAAAATAATTAATTATCTGACTTTTATCTTAAATGTTTTATATTATTCTAGCAAACAAATATTTATTTTTAAATATATCCTCCCACATTCATCAATAAGAAATGTAAAAATCCAATAATATTAATAAAATTTTAAAAATTTTATAATCAAGTGGATCTTTTATAGATATATTCTAGATAATTGATTGTTGTTTAAATTAATATTAAAATAAAATAAATTATTTGATTTACACTCTCTTGGCATTAAATGAATTACCAATTAGAATATATAATACAAAACCATTTGTAACCTATAGATTATCTAATGATAAAATTTAAAATAATAACAATAAAATAAACGCTATACACTATTACATCTAATGTATTATTAGAATAGTACCTATATCTATGGTTATTTATAAATATTACACACAAGCTTAATTCTTAACATATTTCTGATGATTAATAAGTTGTATAATTACTTATATTAAAAAAGTTTTATAATGATTAATTTTAATTTTACTATTTTAATAATTCATATTAATTAAATTAATTAATTTATTAGACCAAATATTATATAAAATATTGTTTTCTACTTATTAAATATTTTATTTAATTTGATTTGAAAATTATCATCAATAATTTTATTATTATCCTTTATAATTGTTATTATTTTTAAACAGCTTTGATTGTTATAAAATATACCACATAGACTTAAATGTAATATTAGTTTGGACATTTGTTGTTATAAAATAGTTCAACACAAAGATGGATTCTTATAAAATAGTATTATTAAGTAATTGTTAAAATATTATGTATATATATTTTTCAAAGTTATGTATTCAAATTGAATGAATATCAAGTTTTAATTTATTTTCTTGTTTCTTAAATTAAATTGAAGTTCAATTATTATAAATGTATAATAATCTATAAATAATAAATTATTTTTCACATTTTGCGCGTAATAAAATGTTTTGGGGTTTTTCGTAGTTTTTGCTGTATGTGTATCAAAACAATTTGGTTTAATTCACGATCTCTAAAATGTTGTATGTTCCACCCAGTAAATCTAAAATCAACGAGTTACAGTTAAAAACTTCAGAAATATTTATTGACAATTTATTACAAAATTAAACGTAAAGTTCACTAGGTGAATAATGTCCTTGTGTATAAAAATCTAGTAGTCCAATGACGATTTAATTTAATTTTTTTTTTTTTTTTATGTCCATTTTCGATTAATTAATAATTCTATAACACCCTATCACAATTATAAATATAAATTATTAAAAACTTTATCATTTTATATGACTAAATTTAAATTTAAAGTACATAATTTTATTTGAGTTTACTAATTTATTTTAATTTTTATGTAAAATGAACGCCTAAAAAAACATTTATTGATGTTTTAATTGAAAATACATGCTAATTAAATATTATATTAAAAGTTTTTCGATACGTTATATTTTTTATATTAGTGTATTGATAAAAGTATCAGGATATACAGAAAACAAGTATGATTACGTAATGGTAACCTTCGTGGATAGTCGGCCAGGTGCACTATCTGTGTTCTAAACTCGGTTAGGAAAAGGCCACTTGTGTTTAGAACAAAAGACTCAGTAAAATTATTATTTAAGTGTACGTTGCATTAAGTTTTTATATTTATGTAACATTATTTCAGTATATTTTTAAATGTTGGAAAATCTTTCAATGTTAATTTCCTAAAAAATCATTTGTACAACTTTTATCTTTTAGTATTATAGTATGACAAATGTACAACCTAAGGTTTTATATCTATTGAGTTTTTATTCAGAATATTATTGTATTGCATTTTTTGGATAATTTTTGTGATTGATTTACAGTTTAACATGAAAGAATTATATGAATATTTTTATACTTTTAATTTAATCTGTATTTTTAACTGTACAACTTGTGATTGTTTAAATTATGAATAATTACGCATTTAAGTTTTTGCTGTACAATATTTTGTTATGTTTCATGAACGTATGACGAAATATTAAACATTTTTAAAACATTCTGTATTCAATATAGTATTGTGGTTAATTTTGTATTATCTTGCTTTTAGTATCTTTATATGCTTATTATGCTTATTAGCTATACTGTTTTGTATGATTATTGTCACCTATCTTACATAAATCTCATCAATGAACTTAATTAATTTGTTCATCAGGAATATATATTTGTTTTTCACTATAATTTATAGTAGTATATTTTTAATATAATTTTTATTTTTCTAATTTTTTTTTTTTTAATATAATCGTAATAACTGTTACCTTTACTACTAATTCGGCTTGCAGCAGTACAGTTGCATTTGTAAATAAACCATTTAGTCTTTGTTAATGTTTGCAAATAACACTTATCAATTTAAGTTTAAAATGAAAAACAACTTTATCGAAAGAGTGCCGTGGGCACACTAACAATTGTTATCTCAGTTTCAATTAACAAACAAAATTCCTAAACAGAAGGTCTCGCTCGCATATTACAAGAATAATATTGTCCTATTATGAATGTCTAAAAAAAAAAAAAATTCCGAGAGCTCGAAACACGTAAAAAAGTCTTATGGCATCGTTTTCTGATGATCCAATAATTATTGAATGTATTTTGAGTGCTATTGCTTAAAATTGATTAAGTTGTAATTGGTGTTGTAAAATGGGATCGCATAAAATGTTCTCTTTAAATTTCACCAGAGGTCAACGTGCTCCAACATATATTTATAATGTTAACTATTTTAGTTTTACGGAAAGTGATGTGACTATAATATACACGATTACGATAACGAATGATGTTGTGTGACAAA